CGTCCCTTCTCCGCCCTCCATCTAACTCCCTTGCAAGCGTCCCCCTTCCGCACACCCGACACACGCGTGAACGTCTCCGCGACGTATGCACGAGCGTGCGAACGCAGACGTGGGGGGGTTTGCCCAAGCGAGGGTGGCACCGGAGTGATTTCATGGTGGCGCGCGTCTACCTTTTCGAGAGATTGGGGAGAAGGCATCCGCGGCTGATTGTCTTACCGAGCCTTTGAATTGTATTTACTCGTTCTCTCTCTTGCAGTAAAAAAGACGAGTTCCCCTCTCATTTGCGGAAGTATTATAGAGATCCGAGAACGATGAAGTATTTCGGTGTAAACGAAATTGTAAATATCATCGAAATTCTTTGTTAAATTGTATTTGGAAATTTTTGTAGTTTGATAAACTTATTTAAAATTAATCTAACAGTAGCGAAGAGAGGATAATAACAAAGTAATTTTAACAGTATAGTTTTTTTAATAGCGATAGAATTTGTTAAGATAGAAATCTCGCGCTGCTTTCGTGAAGATATAAAATGATAACCGCGTGCGCTCTCAGAAGATCACAGTATTGGGAAACGATAATCTGAGAACGATAATACCGGGCGAAAACGATGGGAATTCACGCCACCCTGGAAAAGGACCGTTTCCGGTCCCTTTCTTCTCGCACATCCGCCGACGGCCAAGCGGCGAGAAGATCGCTTCCTCCTCGGTCTCCTTGACCGAGTGCAGCGCAGGATCCGGCCGGCCGGCCGACCGGCAGTCGCACAATCAAGGGCCCACACGCTCGCACACACGCACGCAGTGCACGCACGTTCGCACACGAGTTCGCCGCGAACGTTCCCACGAAAGTCGCCCCTCCCGATTTACGTTCCCCCTTCGGCGGGCAACCCTCTCGCTCGCTCTCGCGCGTCGTGCGCGGGGTGCTTTTCACCTCCGGACGGACGCGCGGGGCCCCTTTGGTGCCCCACTTCACCCCTCATCCCGAGGGTGCACACCTCCGATCATCCCCACCCGGGATCGCCGATACACCACGCGGTCGTGTGTCGTCCCTGCGTCCTCCCGCACACGACATACGTCGGCCGCCACGCGACCAGTGCACACGCAGCAGCCAAGCAGCAGCAGCAGCAGCAGCAACGGCAAGCAGCCAGCGGCCGCCGCGAGTGCGTCCGTCCGAGCCCAGTCGCGCTTCTTCCTCCACGAGCACGCACGCGACCGCGAACGGCGTCGCGGGTAGCCGCGGCACGTGGGCCGCGCCGATAAACTCCCGCCGCCGCCGGCGCGAGTGACAAGTGCGACCGAAGGACCGAGTGCTCCTTTCGCCGTCCGGAAACCGCATCCCGCCGCGCCGGCCCTGACCTTCCGCAAGATTCCGTCGCGCGAATTTCACCGAGAGGTGGACTTCATCATCCGTGAAGAAATTATCTCAAGTTCAGACCAAGTTCTTCCGAATCGGATTATCTCCGAAATTCGCGAGTTTCGTCATTTTTTAATTTTTTTTAATTCATGGAACTACTGTCGCGCGTTCCGCAAGAGACATCGGGAATTTTGTCGAGATTTTTGTGGATTCTGCAAAGATTTTGATCTTTGACTTTGAATCATAATTACTGGTGAAACTTGTGAATTAATCAAGGACACTTGAAGATAATTTTTCTTCGCTGAAGAAATTCTACAGAGTTTTTACAGTGATTGGACTTAGACAGATACAAGTACACGACAATCAAATAGACAGGATTATTTCTTCCTACAGGATATCGTAGACGCTCATAGAAAGAAACAAGAAGTGTTACATCTGATGACAACAGTGTTCGTTCACGAGTTCCAGCTGTAAGTGTCGCTCGCTCGCGATTCCCTTCGCCGGCTGAACAGCCGATCGGCGTGTCCGATGCTCATCGCGGACTGCTAACGATCGTTCTCCATCCGCATCATTCGACCGCAATAATGCAATGACATCTCGTTCGTGCATCGTAATGGCACCGGCGTATCGCGCCAGACGGTAGCGCACGATCGCGCGGGGTCAATCGACTGAGCATCTCTTGCGTGCCCTTACACGGCGGGGCCGTGCATCGATCGCATCGATCCTCCCGTCCGACCCGGGACGATTATCCCTCTCTCGCTCACCTTCTCCACCACTCTCGGGCGCAACATGTGGCGGGTGGTGGTCGCGCGCTCCGACGACAACAGCACCCTGCTGTCCTCCGAGATCACTTCCGGCGCGGTCGCGCCCGGTCACCTGTCGACGCTACCGGCGCCGTCGGGTCATCATTGGGGCTACCCGCCGCCGCCGCCGCCGCATCATCCGCCGTATCAGCCGCCGCCGCCGCCGCCGCCGCAGCACCCGGACATGCGTCATCATCACGACATGCGTCCGCCCGCCACCCACGGCGAGCTGCGACACGCCATCGCGGCGGTACCTGGCGACCTCAGGGGTCAGGAATTACGGCACGAGATGCAGAGGCATCCGGAGGTGCAGAGGCATCAGGAGCTGTCCAGGCACGACATCGCCAGGCATCAGGACATATCGGGCATGAGACCGGAGATGACGGAACTGCGCTCCAGTCATGAGTTCTTGGAGCTGAAGATCGACACGGAATTGAGGAGTCAAGATAACGGCCAGCAACAGCAACAGCAGCAAGCGCAACAACAGCAACAGCAACAGCAGCAGCAGCAGCAGCAGCAACAGTCGCAAAGTCAAGGGCACCAGCAGAGGAATCTGAAGAGAACTATGAGCGATTCGGACTGCGACGATGTATTTTCGGAGGAGAGCGGCAAAGAGCCGTACGTATATTTATTTTTTATCCCTTCCCTTCCCCTTCCCTTCATCATGCGTTGTTTTACATAAAAAAAAATCTGTCGTGCAATCGTTGCACAAGAATTGAAGCAATAGTCGAGTAATTCATACTATGATATAATTCTGTAAAGTTTAGATTCTACTTCTATATGAAAGAAGAAATGTCGAATTTTTCGCACGATTTGCACAGTTGAATAGACATTTTTAGTTTTCCCAAGTTTCTGAAATTGTAAATATCTGAAAGTATTCTTAATTAGATATAATTAAAAATATTCTTTAACGTACTCGTTGAAACAACCGTCGCTCGCCGACGTGACATATTGCGTCTCTTTGTTTCGCGATTAAAACCGCAATCAGGACGGCCATTGTTTTAGCACGCCCGAAATTAATGAGCGAGTTGTTGCGCGTTCCACGAGGTAGAGTAACAATGTACAATTAAAACAAGTCGTCTCGCTCTCCCGGTCGCGAAATCCAAAACAATAAAGGGGGGAGGGAGAAAGGAAGGGAGACCACGAAACGTCTTGTCGCGCTGTTGCGTTTCTCAACCCTTCTTCGAAATTCCCTTTTTGCAGATGCAACTCGCCCGGCGGAGACTCATGTCAACACGCGTCGCGGAAACGCAGGAGGGGGATGATCGAGAAGAAGCGGCGCGACAGGATCAACGCGTCCCTCGGTGAGCTCAGGAGATTGGTCCCGGCAGCGGCGAGAGATCCTCACAGCGGCAAGCTCGAGAAGGCCGAGATTCTGCAGCTCACCGTCGAGCATCTGCGCACGCTTCGCAGCAAGGGTAAGACCGTGCACTTCTTTTTCAACCCTCTCGCCTCTCGAATTATTCGTTTAAATTAAATCGTTCCATCTGTGCGGAGGCTCTGCGATCTCGTCCGTCTAATATTACTCCTCGTATCGCCAGGTGTTATTTTTATTTCTTAATCTTTTAGAACGCGATAGAGATTCGTGTTTATTATAGAGACAATTTAATGTGGTAGACTTTAAGCGATAGGGGAGGGGAAGAAAATTAGTTTTGATTTATCTGTGTTAAAGTAATGCTGAATGCTGATCGAAATTCGGGATTTATCGTTTGCCGCGCAGGAAGTTACGTAACGGAAGTGCATGTCGAAAGATGTAACGGTGTAATAAGATCCCCCGAATCCGGAAGAAACGCCGCCCCCTTTCCCGTTGCAACGCGTAGCGGAACTCGAAGATGATCCGTCAGGATCAATGAATGAGACACCCCTTTTCTCCGCTCGAGATTCCACGGGCCCGTCATTAATGATCTCACGGCGTGCACGAAGGCCGCTCGCACACTCGCATCAATTTGATTCTCTCTCGCCATTATTACGTCTCTCTGTTAGTCGGCCGCTCTCGGCCCTTTATTTTCCACCGGAAGACACCTGTTGGCCGTAAGAGCGCGAACAGCGCTAACTGTAACTGCGTAACCGAATGCCCATCTGTCGTCTCTGCGTTTCCTTATTAAGCAGATTCGAGAGAGCGATTATCAGCATAGAGATTCGTAAACAAGATTTCTAAGATTATAGTATTTTTACAACGTCTCTCTAAATTTATATATTAGCTATTCTCCTATGATTTTTCAATATTTCTTTATGAATGTTATGAATATACCTATCTCGTTTATTTTTTATTCAATAATTGTTGTTTGTTGCGAAAATAGTAGAGAAAAATAGATAATTTAATTAACTTGTAAATTAATTTGAAAATATTGTCGGGAGAATTTTTACTGCAAGCGTTAAGTACACACACACATTGCTTCAGTAACATTAATAATATTATCCATATTTATTTTCATTAATTATTATTTTTAAATTACACAAATTTCTCATTCTCTCTCTCTTTCTCTCGTTATTATGCGATTAGCTCATGATAAATATTTTCGAAAAAATAATACGACGTCATGGAGAAAATCGCAAGACGAAGTGGCATATGGTTTCCCCGTGAAGGCCGCGAAGGAGCTCGGCCGTAAACGGGATCCGCGCGAGCAGGTGCTGGACCGGGCGCGTAGATCCTGTGGGAAGCACAGGAAGTCAACGACTCTCTGGAAGTGGTGTTCCCACGATTGGTGGCGGCGGGCCGACCGGGGATGAGGTGTCCCGCGCGGCACCCCTCGCGAGGGAGGCGCTCGGCGGATCGGGCCTGGGGCAGATGTCGAACCCTGTGGGAAACCAGCTAGCTAGGCATAAGCGTGCACGGACACGCACCGCACCACCACGCGCGCGTTTCCGCGCGCGCGTGTGTGCGAGTGCGTGCGCGCTCGCGGCGGTCTCCTTATTTGTAAATGCGTGCGAGGGGCGCGACCCGTCTCCCCTCAGAAGTGAGCGATATTAAATTTAATATCGCCAAATAAAACTATCGCGGTATTTGGAGCGACGGGTACGATATATAGCGCTTCACGACGGATTAGCGATAGCCTTGTCTTTTTACGGTGCTTTGTCACAATTACAGATTAATATCTTATGAAATAATATCTCTCTCTTACTCACTTCTCTACGGTAATACAATAATAGAGTGTTAGTTTTATCGAGTGCAAAAAAAAGTTGTATCGAGTTTGACATGCTTTCATATTTCGCGTACACTTATTTCTTTTTTAATGTAAGCAAACTTCGGAACGTGTCGCGTTTGTATAGACATTTCCGAAGTTTTCGAGGCCACTTATCGGGGTGCTTTAGCCAATGATCGATCGCGCGATGATTTCACGTATACGAGAGCTGTACGATAGTAGCGCAGTAGCCTTTCTTTCGTAAGTGACGTGTTTGCATAGGGCGGTCTGAGAACTTGCATAATAACGTGGGACACTCCACTCGCCGTTTCACGGTGTGCGTGCGTATATCTCGCGCAGCATATGAGGCTCGCGAGGCTCGGCCTATGGGGGTCTAAAACGATTCCCACGCTACCTGTCCCATTCCACATTATACACAATGAGCCGCCTGCTACTAAAAGCCAAGGCGCCCATCTCGCCTCGGTGCACGTACGCCCGGACCCATTGTTGCGCCGCGAAAACCAAAAGTGCACAAAGGGATCCTCTCCGTCCGCAGATGCACTTCTGCACGTTGTCAATCTGCGAGCCGCTCGAAGCCGGAATGATTCGGGAAAAGCGCCGACGAATATGCGCGATATCATCTTTTGACACCTGTTTCCCTTCGGAAAACGTGACGTCTTCGAATAACATCCCTGGGAAACGAGGAGCAAAATTGACGTCTTAAATGATTGTATCACAAAGAAAATTGTTTGAACAAGTTCGCAAGTTTTCAGCAGTATTTCCATATTTACGTATGCTATTAAAAAATATCGCGCTTCTTTTATAGCTAAGTTTAGCTTCTCCAAGTATTCGACCGAATTAAAGTCTAATTTAACTTTGAGTCAAGTCAACTTCCGTATCTCGTTCAAAAGTTCCTTCTAACTAATAGTTACCAAGATTGCTTCTCAGAGCTTTACTTATAAATTCATCTCGCACTACGAGAAGACTTTCTTCCTCGCGCTTGCGTTTTAAAATTCTGTGAAATTATACATGTGCAAAATTAAAAGTTGATCCAATCTCATTATTATCAGTGCATTATTATTAATTTATTATTATATTATCATTAAATTGGTTTATTATGCATGATATAGCAATCGAGATTGTCGTCGTAATCACGATGCAAATCGCAATTGCAGGGCCAGAGGGCTACGACAGCACGAAGCTGGCCATGGATTACCACGCGGTAGGCTGGGGCGAGTGCGCAGCCGAGGTCGGCCGCTACCTGGTGACCATGGAGGGTCTGGACGAGAGGGATCCCCTTCGGCTGCGCCTGCTGTCGCACCTGCAGAGCTTCCACCGCGAGCATCCGCCGTCGGCCGTGCCGTCGGCGGTGCCGCCGGCGTCCACGACGTTAACGTCTACCTCCACTGCCAGCAGCTACGAGCCACCGCCGAGCACCATCTCCGCCGGAATGCCGCCCGGTCCGGGCGCCATGCCGCCGCTCCTCGGCGGCGGCGCCCTCGGCTGGGGCCAGTACCCCGGCCAGTATCCCCAGCAGCAGCACGGGAAGCCCTACCGACCCTGGGGCGCGGAACTGGCGTACTGACCGTGAACCTTTGACGCGCAATCGACGAGGTTTGACGCAAGAGTGGTATAACCCGAGAAAGATAACGTTTCAACGTGTTTCACAATTTTTCTCTTTTCATCATATACAGTTTTATATATAAAATACGACGCAATACAAAATGTAAATAGCTCGGGAGACTATATATATCGAGCACTTCCTCGAAACACCGGGGGGGAGGGGGGATATGAATTATACCACTCTTTTGCCGATTACTTCAATTATAAGACTTATTTGCAGGCGATATATTCGCGCTCATGTTAATAAGTTAGTTGTTTCTTTTTCGAGGATTTGTTAATAGTAAAGTATACGATTTGTGTAATGTTTACGATTAGCAGATTGTTGACAGCCACGGAACAAGACCGACGTGAGCGGCGAATTTTGCCGTTTTTCCATATGTACATACGATATACATTTTTGTACAATGTTTTGACACTTCGAACATATCTCAGGAACTTCCACAACGATTATAAATCTATATATCGAGTATATTTTCAATGAGTGAGATAATGATAGTCATGCGGGTACCTAACTAAAAATATTTATTGATAGGAAAAGATAGAATTGTATATAAATTGTACATACGTTTTTGTAAATAATAAGAATTCGTAATTTTATCTCGGGTATCTCGTAATCCGGCTGCGCTGGTTTATTTACGGCGGTTCGCGCGTCGTTCGTCTCGTTCGCGCTCTCGTCGCGGAGTGATAAACGATTGCGCGAGCGTGTGTAAAGTCCAGCGCCAATAAAAAATAGAAAAGAGAGAGAAAGGAAAAAAAAGGAACGGTCGTCATACGCATTCGCAACGTGCCATTACGCATTTCAGTTTATATACCAGTGTGGGAGAGATCCAAGTATTTTTGCAATACGATTTTGTAAAATAAAGCGATAACACACGAGAGAGGAATACAAATATAGAAATCTTGTCTCGCATGTGATTTCCCCCTTTGCACTTTCCTCCAAGAGAGTCCAATCAATAACACGTTTCCGAGAACTGCGGCGCACAACTATCGGAGCAAGACGCGAGTCGTAGGGTAAACCAAAATGTGTGACGTCGGATATAGGAATTTGGGTCGTTTCTTATTAGATGATCGACATTGAGATAGTTTCTGAGGAGGCATAGTAAATCGAGTCCCGCAAAACACGTCCTCATCGATCATTCGTGAAATTTGGACACTCGATACCGCCCAAACATCTTCGATCGCATCACACGCGTGATTCCTATTACGAAACCTTATTACGTATTTATACGAATATTACGAAATCTGTTTACCGATTTTGGAAGCGCGAGTGTCTGAATCGGCCGAACTGAACGTGTGACGAAACGGACGGCAGCGGTCTTCGAAGAGGCTCCTGATCGCGATTATTCATTTTATCATTGATATTCTTGATACCCAGAGTGCTTCCAATATTTCGCGAGCAACGATTCCGATCGAAACGCGGCTGCGAAAGTGTTTGCGTCGTAATTGGCGATTCTCGTTGATATCTATTATGCCTTATTTTCATTTTGTCTTAAATAATTTTCGAGTTTCTCCTAAAAAAAAATATTTACGCATCTTTATTTCTAAAAAAAAATATTTACGCATCTTGTAGTCGCTTCGAATCTGAAGAAGTTATCATCAACTGGAAATTGATTGAGGATTTATTAGTTTTTACTGCGACGAAAATAACAATGAATTATTTTTCATCTCGTAGTATTTCACATCACCTTGCCATGCGTGGCAAACGAGCGGGCTTTTGTGCGTTTTACGCATCCGTGCCTCGCGCAAAAAACCGACACAAAATAGCGGGCGAGAATTTACGCATTCGGCGAGAAAGAAGAGGAAGAGGAGGAGGAGGATGCTGTCGCTCTGCTTCTTTTCTCATGCAAAATCCTCTCTCGCAGACGCGGAGTATATTCTCGGACACACGTAGAACAATGCGGGGCTTACGACCCTTCCCGTTGGCATTATATTCGCAAACCAGTTTTGCGAGTCATTAGCTTCGCGACACAGTTCGTGCGTGTGATGCGCCCGCGCATCTCTTTTTTCTTCTTTCTTTCCATTTTTTCTTTCTTTTTCTTTTTTTTTAACGAACTCCGGCCAACGATTGGTCGCGGCTACTTTTGTTCTCGCGCTCGAGAGACGCGACAACTCGACAAAACCCAATTTTCGGGAATTACTGATATTGCGGCCACGTGCGACCCATTGTTCGAAGCGTGCTCGTTATACGCGCGAACCTCCCGCTCGGGTCGCACGCGCGCATAATTGCGCGAAACACACGCGCCCGCGTGGTCTCTCCCGCGTCAAAACTTGACACCGCTCGTCGGATTAACGTAAAGCGGAACGGTTCTTTGCCGAGTCAGTGTGCAGGCGCGAGCTGTTCGACCTACATTAAAATAAATGTCGCGGGCGACATACGATTGATGCTTCATCAGAAAAAAGTGCGATTGAGGAAAGCGAGATAACTATACGAGAATAAATATACAAAGTAAGTAGTTTGTTTAGAAATAAACCGTATATCGCGTCAGCTTTCTCTGAAGAATTCTGATGTAATTTAATTGATTCTTAAACGAATCTCGAGGAATTTTCATAAAAGAATCTCAGGAAAATTCCCTTAAGAGATTCTTAAGAAGGAATTTTTATTTTAAACGCAAAACACGAGTTCCTTAAGAAATATAAGGAAAGTTGGGGCTTCACATTAAAGCCGATCGCAATCGATATAAAAACGGGTCTGTAAAAGCTACGCAAGCACAAATGGAGGTATCGCGAAAATCGTTACCAAGTTTCGCGCTATAAGTACGGATTATTCGTTACACAGACATTCGCGAAAGTGGAGCGGCATGTCGTTAAAACGTTATTAGGAACGGCGCGAAATTACAGGGCGAAACTATAGTTGACTGTCGGCTAGGCACTATAACCAACTACTCTCTCTCTCTCTCTCTCATTACATGTTTCTGCGGAATGGTCGTTACGCCCGCCGCCGTAATGAGAAAATCGCGCGGATCGATTTTCATTACCAATTCAAACGAAGGACCCCTGTGTGTCTTGCGATACCGCGTATATGTCGTGGCGTACGTACGAGGCATATGTGTATACAGTTATACTTTTACACACGTCGCCGCGATCAATGAGACTCGTGTGATGACAGGAGGTCATGGGAACACACCCGGAGATCGTCAATAAAACCATTTTATTTACGCGACATTCACATTTGCTTTACAAAGTCACAGCCTTATCGAGACGATAAAGTATATCAACACACGCATCATCCATATTATACATCCATATTTTTGTAGTTCCTCTTTTTATATGTATGTATATATATATATATGTTATATAAATTCTGCATCTATACATAGATATAAGTCATTAAAGCTCTTCTTCTTTTTCTTCTTCTTCTTCTTCTTACCTTCTTAAATCAACCCGTATAGGAAGAATAAAATCGTACCTCGCTACTTTTTTTTTAAGTGAAGATTGATTTTGCGCGCTTTGAGCAAAGGTGCCGGAAACGATCGGAAATAGAAGAACTCGGTTCGAGTGATCAGGCCGGTGTGACTTATTGCATAAGTACCCTCGATACTCGAACTTGGCGTAAGGTGATTTAAAGTGAGTCTTTCACGAAAGGACCGTTCCGTTTTGCATAAATCGATTTTCGACATATAGAAATAGTATAGCTTTGTAGAGATATGGTGCTCCTCTTTTTAGAATTAAAATTGCTGGTGAGAGTTTATATCCGTATCGAGGGTATCGGTTGTGTATCGGCTGACTAATCTAACGGATGCACCCTCGACCGTGCGAGATATTGAACACCTAGGACGATTACACAGCGTAAAAGTGACGACGACATCGAGTTTGGGAAAGTCGGACTCGCTTACCTTACGAAATCCTTAACGTATCCCGGACAGATAAATAGCCGGGGGTGCAAATCGGCGCGTCCTACTCGAGATCGATCGACCAAATGTTTGACATTTTGATTCATCGACAACGTATACAACCGCGGGAGTCGCAGAAAGACGTGCGTCGGTGGACAGTTAAAAGTTTTTGAATGAAGAAGTAAGTAGTTTTAATTTTTCCCTCGTTATCCTAAGTATCGTGGTTAATATTACTCTAAACGCTATAGTCTAACGTCGCCCCCCCGAAGCGCCTCTCTCCATGGGGGTTTACAATTAGAGATATAAATTATCTGGACACAGTATAAAGGTCCCGCGCCGCGGATATGTTCACGTGTCTGGGACACGTACGGGGGACTCGCGCGAGAGCCGCGAGAGATCGAATAATTAATTGATTGCCTAAAAAAACAGTTTTTCTTTTCGTGACGCCGAAAATAGTATATTGCAAAATAGTGTGATCCACGAGTTTTTAGACCCGACATGATAAAACCGCGCGGACGACGCGCTGATGGAAAAGTTCTAATTGCATTCCCGGACGTCATCCCCGGGCGCGAACGGTCGTCGATAACACGCTAGGCGATATATACATGTATATATATATATATTTTTTTTTGTACTACGTCACATATTGCTATTCTCTATGTCGAAAGAGACGGATGACGCGCGGAGCGCCGCTGATTTCCTCGCTTGCACGACGAGAAACGATAAAGGAGAAACGCGGGAAGGAATGAATCGTCAACCATCGCTAGAAATAATAAGTGTGAATCGACGCCGATTCGACCGATCATTTCTGGCTGCGAGAAGTGAACTAACTTAATTAATCAATATACGACTGTGCTCGTAATCGCGGCTAATTTATCACGGTAACGGAGATTTGCGGTAAATAAATAAGTACGTATAAGATAAGTATGTCTATCTAATGAAATTAATGGCGCTAAATGAGATCGAGGCGAGCGCTTATACGCGACTCGCGCTGGAAAATACAAGTCGGCGCTCTAGAAAATAAATCTAGACCGGAAGACTAACCGGAAATAAAACGTCTTCTCCGCGTCCTTGTCTCTCAATGATACGCCGAGAGACACGGCTATAATATAATCCGAGGTCCAGCCACAGAGCATCTTTCATCGTCCCCGACGTGCGACATGTATCTATCGAAAAATAAGGGAGCGCATAAAAACGCTCGTATGTGTCTGTATGCGTGTGTGTATACGCGCGCACGTATGTGTATGTATATATGTATGCATGTGGAACGGATTACGGAGGGATCGTGATTAACCCTTAACCGGTTTACAGCTTCCCGATAAATATTCTCTTTGGTACAGCCATTGCACTAGCCATCGCGCCGCGGTCGCTTAGTCGCGTAGAAGCGAGACTCTTTGAGAAAAAAAGAGAAACAAAAAACGCCGGACGAGTACTCGTATACTCACCAGTTAAGGGTTAGATATTCGTTTTCGAGCGGCGCGCGTGCAATTCATTTTGCACCCTCTTTCTCTCTCTCTCTCTCTCTCTTTCTCTCGGGGATGATCGCCGGCCGAATTCGATCGCGAGAGCGCAAATGAGCCGGGGGGGGGGAGGAGAGAGAGAGCAGGGCGCCGGTCCGGGTGTTCGGCCTAGCGGCACGGACGTTAGATTATCATCTCGTTCTCCCTGTTCTCGTTCCTCTGGTTCTCCTCGTATTCGTCGCAGCAGCAACAGTTTGACGTGCAGTCCTCCTGGTTCTCGGCCACGTACGTCATGTACGTGTCGATGCTCTTGGCGTCGAGGGACGGCAGGGACCACGAGAGCGAGGTCGTCTCGAGGTCCGGGATGGCCGTGTGCCAGGCGCTGGGATTACACGACCCCTTGGCCTTGCGGCTTTTGGTGGACAGCTTCTTGATCGCCTGCGAAAGAGGAAGCGTCGTCGCGCCGAGTAAATAACATGCAGAGAAGAAGCGGGGAAACGAGGGGCGAAAGGGGAAACGAAAAAAGACGGTGTACCCCGTCGCGCGAAAAGGTCGACGCGAGTCAGGTAGCTGGTTGTATATACGATAGAGTCATCCGTCGACACGCCACACAAACAGGTAAGGACATCGATCCGCGATAATTGACCGTTGCGCGCGGAAATTTCACGCCTAGGCGGAATGACGTAAACAGCATCACCGTGTGAATTAATCTTTCACGACGTGTGTGCCTCGCTCGACGTCTCACGGTGAGACGGGACGGCACGAGGGTGGAAACGCGAGGTGAGATACGACGTTCGAGCAACCGGGAGCGGAGCGAACCACTGATCATCGGGCGAGCGAAGACGCCGATATATCGGCGGTGTCCAGATAACACGGTGTGTTCGCCGCGCTCACGGGGGTGGAAATTAGGTCGCAGCACGCGCCCGAAACGTGCAACACACAGAGGAGGTGGAGAGTCGTCTCGTTAAAACAAAACGGGGAACCGCTTACCCGCAGGATCCTGCGGCCGGACTTGCCGAGGAATTTCTTCAGCATCGCGGCCGATCTTGTCCTCTCGAACACGTCGTCCTCTCGTCGTTCCCCGGAAAGGAAAATCCTCGTTCGCCGACCGTTTCTCGCCCGCCGCGGGCGCGAAGAACCTGACACGCGCCGGGATTGATTTTCGGCCGTGCGCCTCTCTTATCCGCCCTGTACGGTTCGCGCCGTAGCCGTCGCTCGGATCGATGCGAACGCCACGGCGTCACGCGACGAAATACCGCTCCGGAACGCCGCGCCTCCCCATTTATGACCCCGACCGGCGGCGCGGCGGCGGACTCCCCGTACTCCGGCGCGGCTCTCCCACGATCCCGCACGATCATCCCCGAGGTCCCGAGGAGACCGACCGAGACCGCTCGCGTCGCAACCCTCTCCCTCGAGCACGCGGAAAGACTTCCGGAGCCTGCGATCACCTGGTGGAGACGTACTCCAGCCAGTTAACCCTTGCGGCAATTAATGAGCGACCGGTAATTACGTCGGCTTGGGGCGCGACAGTAATTATTTCCACTTCGCGGCGGCGCCGCCCTTCCGACTGGATTGATTTTAATTGACGGTCTTAAACCTCGCCGGATAAACGTCGGCTTATGTGACATTTCGCAAATCACGTCTGGTATACACGACCCACTTATTAACACGATAGAGAATTTCTTACGCGAAAAAAAGTATATTTCTCACTCTGCTGCATTTAACTTTATTTCTAAATCCCTTTTTGCTCGTGCTCTTTGCATACTTTCCTTTGATAGGAAATGTTAGAGTTCAAAAATTTAAATTCATATAGGTTTAATTTCTAAAGCGACAGCATTACTCACGTATTCGTTTTAGTACAAATTATGATAAATAAAGTTTATTTAAAATGCATGTCAGAGAACTTATTTACTGTAAAAACATTCACTCGTAATTGCGATAACGTGATATATTATGACTATATATTTATGACATATATTTGAACTCAGTTAAATTATAACGCAGTTTTTACAATTTTCGCGTGAAATTAACGAAACTGACGTTTTCCCTCGTTCGTCTGAACTTTCTTTACGCGCGCCTCCTTCATGCGCTTCTTTTCATTTCCTATTAATTAATTAAAATTAATAGAGAATAGTAGTAATCAAATTGTATATTCGCGAAATACATTTTTTTTTTCGTAATTATTCGCGCTAACAAAAATATGGAAAAATATGTAAAGAGACGACAAAATATTAACATTTTATAAAATATTGCGATAAAAGTAATATTGTAAGTTGCTGCAGATATATAATACAATTTGAAATAAATTACAAGTAACAAATAAGAAAACCGAGACGGTTCCATCTGTCCGTAACCAGGGAGGATACGAGGTACCGATTAATCAATGCACAATTCGATAAGGAATACGCGTGCATGCGTATATATCACGCGTGCGTGCGCGGGTCCTCGGCGCGATGCACTGTGCGACAGGACAGAACGAGTGCTCAATGGCCCGTGGGGAATAGAGGCGAGAATAAGAACGAATTGGATTAATGCGCGAGTGATTGAATGAGAAAATCTACCGCGATTGACAAGACGCTGATGCACACGATGATTTTAATCGGGCCGTGCGCGATTCCAGTCGATTAATTCATCCACTAACAACCATTAGATGATTGCAGATGAGTGTCTATATCGCGTTATGATTTTTCTTTCTCGCACATGCCGCGAGAAAGTATTCATAGACTCGGTTTTCACGATTGACTGCGTAGTATCATCACGCACAGTCCGAGGGAATTCAGCTTCGATGATATCGTGGATTATTACGCGCGTAAATCGAAAGGTTCAAAGTTCAATATTATATTCCAATTAGCCGGATAGAGTCAATTTTCGTTTACGCGTGAATTATTTGTCGTTGTCTTATGAATTATTTATCGGGCATCTCCGGTTCGCGCGATTCGCGCACCTGCAGCTGCAGAGCCGCGTTAAACGCGCGCTGCAAGTTGCAATACGCGCGAGAGGAGGTAAGCACGAGTCGGCGTGTGCATACGCGTGCATACGCGTGCACGTGCACGCACGTGCACCGCGACACGTATGCAAATACGGAGAACGTCTTTCGCCGGGCATTGACGAGTGTGAAACGGGAAAATTCGGGAAAAGGAAAATTATAAGGATGAAATATTTAGGGACGGCGGCGAACGCGATCTCGGCCCTCGCCCACGTTTTATCATGACAGCCTCGCTCCGCTCGGTGAAGATTCGAGCATGAAAACGCGTAAAACACGAACACAAGCATATGTTTCATATACCGATTAATCATTTATCGCGGTCTTTGTTAAATTTTTATTAACTTATTTATTTTAACTCGATATATCGTGTTTATTATTTCAGCGAATTGTTACAGATTTACATTTTATATATATTTCTGAATTATTTTCGACAACACCTTTATACAGTTATCATTCTATTATTAGTTTAAAAAAATTTTTTTAACCATTATAGATTCATTCATTTTATTATATAATAATTTTCATTTTGTTTGCCTGCATTTTCCTGCTTTTCAATTTCGAAATGTCAAAAGGTTTAACATTTAACAATTCACGCAGAGAGGGGCCAAATAAAATTTCGCACGGAGGCACTTGAAATATCAATTAACTCTTTCCAATTGCAACGATTTAGAAAATGCTTTATATTCCCGAATAATGAAAAAAATCCCGAATAAAGAGGGATATTAAAATATAAATCTCATTGCCTCCCTTTCTCTTTTTTGTTTTTTGGATGTTAAAACATAATGAATATTTCGTATAGTACATTTGGCATAGTTTGCCAATATCATACCTTTTAGAATTAAACAGTGCTACATTACGTGAAATATCGTTGTGAAACCGTTTTTCAATATACGCTTTTATCGAAATAACAGATTATGTGAATGACCGAGCGCGAGCGTACGTGAATGAAATTTAATCGATGCTTCACCGAGGATGCACCGGGAAGTCGAGAGCGAGCGCGAGTAAATCCCGGGAGCCCACGCGCTTTACTCTTCTCTCTCTCTCTCTCTCTTTCTCTCTTTTTCTCTCACGGCTACGTGCACACACGTGCGCGTCGTGTGCGTGTGACGCGTGTGAGCGCGGCCGTTCTCACGCGGCGGCACGCGCCGCTCCGTGCGTGTCCTCCCTATTCGCCCCTTCGATGTGCACGTCGTCGGGCCACGTGCCACCCCCGAGTGGGCCTACGGAAAACTCATAATTGTCATAACATACGAGAGCACGTCGCCGCGAGCCGACGACCGTGGAAGGATCACCCTCCTATCCCCGGAATTGAAATCGCGAGTGCACTTCGGTTAGTTAATCGCTCGGCGGCGCGGTTCCGATAAATCTCCCCCGGGATTGCGTTAGCCCGAAGTATAACGATCGTGCCTTATCGGGCAGGCATTTCGTCTGCCTGTCAAACCGACAGTTATTTAATTGCGGCTCTGGAATCGTATATACAATTGCGAAAGAAACAACTCGGGCTTTCCGAGGAAAAATGTAACGCCGGGTACTTTGTCCCCTAGTCCTCGGTCGCCAAACGGATCACAAGCGGGATCGCGTCGTGCGGATGCTGACGTAAAATGAGCGCGGGATTTTGCGGTGGCAAATATCTCGTCTATCACTCGCGTGATTCACTCGCCGCGTGTTGCAATTATTGCAAACGCGTCCGGCCGCTCACGCGGACTCGGCAATCATTTTTTCTACGGGGCTGAGGGGAAACAATCGCCGTCGGCGATGGGGTATAACGAGCAGCGCGTGGCGGTGTCACGTGGCTACAAATGCGCGCTCAAACATCGCGGCCCGACGAAAATAAGTCCGGCCTAATTGAGGCGGCCGTTCCATTATAGAGATTAGACTTCAAACGAGGTTTGCATTGTGTGTAAATATGTGTGTGTGTGTGTGTGTGTCTCGCGCGATTAATTAATCTTAAGAAATATTACCCTTTGAAAAAAAAAATTTAACGAATGGATATTAAAATGGAAATTCGAAATTTGTTTAACAATTAGAAACGGAAACGATTCTGATACTTGTTTTACTATATCGAGTTTTGTTATCGTACGCGTCATGAATTGCATGAGCGTTGTTACGTCAATGCGACGTTCGATCTGTCACAAATATTTGCAAAGTCGCGCGTCACGGCCATTTAGCACGCAACGAATGCGATACATTTGTCTATATAATTGGAACACTTTAAAGCGGGCCACCGTTGGCACCTATTATATTTAATACTAAAACTATCGAGTGAACATAACTATATGATTAACATATATTTACTTTTCGTGTTTAAATATGTATCTTTGGGCAAAGATATGTAGGAGGAAACTAAATTGATCAATCTAATTATTTGCATACAGCAATAAAGTTGACGGAAAGTCCCAGACACTGTTAAAAATTTCATAAAAGTCAATCCAATCGTTTTGACTGTTTTGGTAATTCTAATGTTAACGTAGGCAAAATATATCGATCAAATTTTAGGTGTATTTTTTAGACTTTAAGAGACCTCTGTGAAGTTGAGCCCATTTTTTTTTAATTCGAAAAAAAATAATCAGAATTTCGGTTGCTCCCCGAAAAATTCTAGTATTCTCTACTGATTTTAGAAAGAGTTCCATTGATTAAAACGATGAAAACATCATTTGAAAATGGGGCAGCCAACTTCACATTTCTATAACTTTAAAAGGCCATAACTTTTGTGTTTCATTCAGTGCTTCGATCATTAAGGATAATTGATAGAACTCTTTGGGAGGCTATCAATTATCCTTAACGATCGAAACACTGAATGAAAAAACGAAAGTTATGATATTTTAAAGTTGTAGAAATGTGAAGCTGGCTTCCCCATGTCTGCAAATGGTGTTTTCATCGCTTTAATGAACGGAACTCTTTTTTAAAACCGAGAGAACTCTAGAATTCTTCGGGGGGCAATCGGAATTCTGATTATTTTTTTTCGAATTTAAAAAAAATCGGGCCAATTTTACAGAGATCTTTAAAAGAGATTTATTTTGTATACTTTGCTGCAATAATTGTTTGAAATATTTTTTTTAGGACTAGTTCAATTTAATAGAAAAATTAAATTTAGTATAAAAAATATGTAAATCTTAATTTATTAAGTTAAACTAGCTCTAAGAAGAAAACTAATAATCTTTTTCGATAATTTCTTTTTGATTACCGCATAGATACTGACCGATCTTTGAAAATTTGTCTAATATTGTCCTATTCATTCGCGTCATAAAGCAGCATAAATAATTTTTTTGTTTTTGTGAACCTCCTGGAAAAACAAGGTGTTTACTCGGGCAAAAAGATTGCCGTACAGAGCGAACGAGATTAGGAGGATATTTATAGCAGCAGAGATATTACAATGGATCTATATATAATGCGGTTATACAAGCAAATGATGTGCGCGTAAACCGGAATAAGTAAATAAACACGCAATACTGATCGCTTAAAGAAGTGCGAACAGAAGTGTCAAATATCAAAAATGTGGAAACTATTACGTTTCGAATATAATAAACGGAGCACTAATAGAAAGAGAATGAGACTGCAAATATCGGTAAAGAGAATATAATGATGTCTTGAAGATATTTAAAAAATGTCTCAAAATTTCGAATATATTATATGTTCTAAGGTATATAGCTACTTTCTTTTTAAGAAGCACAATCGATACATTTAACACGCGTCGCTTTCCATTTACAATTTTGTTCAAGCTCAATCGACACTTTTCGACTCTTCTCGGGAGGAGTCGAAGTGCGTTTTGTCTAATTGAATAATTATTACAATTGGATTCGAAAACTTGTTGCGATGCGATGCAACACTTGGTTTGATTATATACATACGATATATGATTTGAATGTGCTCTAGTGTGTTAATTTGTTTCCTAGGAAAAGGAAAGCAGCCTTTATATATTTTTTATGTAAACATATTCTTCATTTATGAGAAGGAAAGATATATGTAATTAATATTATCCGAAAACTGATCAATTTTGTGATTGCAGTCTTATTCAAATATAATAATAAATATATTTTCTTATAAATTAAATATGTTCTTCATTTAAAAGAAGATTACATGATGTAATCAAAATTTACCAGACAGACATATACAAAAATAATCGAGCCACTAAATTATACAAATTAAAGAATTATGCACAATCTAAGTAAAATAAAAAATCTATCTATCATCTAAACATCAAATGTAATGTATTATGTACAATATTATCTCATAATATATAATATTTATAACAAAGTAACATTCTTCTTCGATTAATTATATAATTATACAGTGCGTATATACAAGGCAAACATGAGTCTAGCTGGTTTTTTGTTTACATTATGATACATATGTGTATTCATGTACATACAGTAAATGAAGCGAATTACGAGTCTAGCTGGTTTTTTGTTTCTTATTACTCGGCCCGCTATCCTGATCGTCGCTTTGAAAAATCGTTTTCGGCTGCGTCTTCTTGTACGCGGGTGCGATCCAGTACGGCTCCTCCTCGGCTATCTTCGCATACTTCAGAATAGCCTCCCTGGGATCCTGATCGTCCTCTATCCGTTTGCTCAGCCCGAGATTGCGTATGACGTACGAGCTGAGCGTGCCGCCGGAGGACGCCACTCTGCCACCCTGCCCGGAGGTGATGGGCAGATCCGGCCGCCTCGATTTCACCGGATCCAGCCGGTCCTTCTCCATCTGCTTGCGAACTGACTTGGGCCTGTCCTGGCGGAACAGCGGAAGCGCGTGGGGCGTGATGATCTGCTGGGTGGACATTATCTCGATGTGCTTCTGTTTCATGTGCGTCTTGACGACGCAGAGCTTGGCGCCCCTCATGCTCTTCTTCGGATCGTAATACGTCTTGACTATGCCGTTGCCGCAACCGACGAACAACTGATTCAATTTCGGATGCCACAGCGTCTTGATCACGTGCGAATTCGTCACGGGGATCTCCCTGACCAGCTCGAACGTCTTAGTGTCGTAGAACAGCACCCTCCCGGTCGTCTCCCCCTTGTTCAGCGATTCTCCCGTGACGATCATCGAGTCGTCCGGGCTGAACATGCAATCCGTGGTGTCGTAACGCGAGAACAGTCCCTTGGCTTCGAAGATCGGCGTCTTGAACGACCTCAGGTCCCACAATTTCAAAGTGTCGTCGCAGGCCCTGCTCGCCAGCATCTGCCCGAGGTACGAGAAGCTCAAACTCGACACCTCGCTGGACTGTGCGTGCGCGCCTCGCAGCACGAGGGACGGGTTGACGAAATTCTTCCGGTGGTCCCACATCTGAATCGAGCCGTCGATGCAACCGCACGCGACGGCCGCGCCTTCACGGCTGTAGGCGCACGTGGTGGGCACGGTCTTTACGCCGTTCTGCGCCCTACACTTTATCAGATTCTTGTGCGCGCGCGGCCTGAATAAATTCCATATCCGGCAAGTGCTGTCCTGCGAGCATGTCATATACTCCTCCTTGGTGAACGGATGCCAGCAGCCGCTGTTCAGACTGGCGGTGTGGCCCTTTGTGCGCGCCATATCCGTGATGTACTGATCGCCCTTTACGGTCTCGCACTTCTCAAAGCCGTCCCTGTCCAGGACCTTCGCCTGCGCCGCGCCCGAGATCACGAGTATCACGTCCCCGGTCGTGGAGTACTGCAAGCACTTGATGGGATGATTCTCGCAGGGCTGCAGGGTCCGGAAGCTCTTCATCGACGTGTCCATGCCCGCGAAGTCCCAGAAGCAGACGTCGTAGTCGACCGATCCGGACGCTAATCGAGCCCCGGACGGATCCGCGGCGATGGCGATCACCGCTTTCGTGCCGTGGGTCATCGAGACTTCGTGGGAACAAGGGATCTTGTCTCTCAGCGTTACTTCTTCCTCTTCCTCTTCGGCGTCCGACGAGTCTTTATCGTCGTCATCCTCGTCATCCTCGTCGCTTTCGTTCTTCTCGTCCTTCTTCTTCGCAGGGTTGGGTAATACCTAGTAAACAAGTTAAAACTTTGTTAATTTTACACGAGTAAACTATTGATTTCAATTAGTTAAATATAAACTTTAAACTAATAACTTTTTTCCAAGTTGAAAATTTACCTATTTAAAAAAAAGAGGCATTTTCTTATAAAGAAAATATTTCGTTATTTAATGTAAACTTAATTTCTAAGTGAAATATTAAATTGATTTGATTTATGTAATTTTCATCATTATTGTATTCAATCATTGTAACGTTTCCATTTCAAATAATTTTATTTTTAAAAATGACATTTTAATTTAATATAAATGTTTTTTAAAATTAACTTTTAGTTTTAAAAATATATTAACTTACCCAACCCTGCTTCTTCGAATCTTTGCTTGCCTCCGAAGGAGCGGGCAACAAGGATGGTATCGGCGGACCAATGAGATCGTCGTCGTCGTCATCGTCGTCATCGTTCACCTTGTCCTCCCTGGACTCCGCAACCTCGTCGGGCTTCTCCCTCTCGGCCACGGCCGCTTTATTGCTGCTGATGGTCTTGGTGATGTTCTCCATCATCTCCTGCACGTCGAAGGACTTGGCTTTCTTGCCGAAGCCCGTGATGCCCATCAACTGCTGCATACTCCGGGTCTCCTCCTCGTCCTCCGGCTTGATCTCGTCCATCGTCTTCACATTGTTCTCCTCGCGCTTCTTACCGAAGGTGCCGAATCCGATGCTGGATGTCTCGACGGACGTCTCGGACGCCGGTTTACTTAAATTGGCGCTTATCTTGCCGAAGGTTATGGTCTTCCTCGAATTCATGTCGCTGGATGACCGGACGACTGGATATTCAATTCACATGCAACGCGTGCCCACTGAAATGACGTAACGACACAATATAAACATCCACATTAAAACGTAGAATTTCGTCTTAAATTAATATTCTTACATTACAACTGCATGCGCAACTTTTGGTTTGTTGTGGTTTGTCACATCATGGATCGAATAATCGACAGAGAGAAAACTGAGCGCGCACGCAGAGATAATTGAGAGAAGCCTGAGAACGGCTACGGCCGCGATTTTGTTAACCTCCCCGTACACTACCGCCAATTACGTCCATTTTTGAAATGGGAACTACGGAGTACGTCAGCTGGGGTGTTCAGCATCGCCTCAAACTGGCCAATCAGCGACTCCGGCAAAACGGGACTCCCACACCGCCGATTAGCGCGGGAGTCGAATTGTTACAGTGAATCTAACCTAAAAAAGAACGCCCCGACGCCCCCGACTGCGTTGATTACGTCGTCTGTTTTCGAAGCGATATGAAAAAGAATCGCAAAATAACGTGGAGCTACCTGGAGCTCAGTGGACTCCTGGAGGACGAGGAGTCTCACGTGCACTTCACGAGGATCACTAAGCATCTCGCGTTACATCCGTATTACTTGAACAATATTCAGCAAGGTCTGAACCAGATTTTAAGATCGTCGTTGAACACTTACGACAGAGAGTACGCATTTATCTATTCTTTTTTTTACACCTAAGCATTGAATATCTATCAATCGATTTCTCAATTATTTGTACATTTTACGTTAGTTGATATGTTATTCAATATTTATAAAAGTAATAAGTGAAATAAAGCTTAAATCAAACAATCATTATTAAAATAAATTTTTAAAATATCTCCTCATTGCTGTTTTATGATTCGTTGTCCGCATATATTAACTTAAGTAGAACTGTAAAATAATAAGTCGCATGACACATTGATATGATACATGAGTAAAAATGTTCCCAGAGGAATATATTACAATAAGATTACTTCGATAAATAATTATATATATTATTACTCGCGATAGAATTTAACAAAACAATTTTGTATCTTAGATTGAAAGGATTCGTGCTTGCCTTTAGAAATCCTAAATTGCTTAGCAATGTGGGAGAGATGCTCTACGACTCTCCCTTCATTCACATTGACATTGAAGCAGATTTCTATCTGTTTCGTCCAACGGTCGGATCGTTTCTAAAAGGTAAGGTAAACTCTTTGAGTATATAGATACCTGGAATGCCTTTGTTCTCTGCAGGCCGCAAGCGAGTCCAAGAGCGGCAAGGAATGCGAGAGAGAAAGGTACGAGCGATACCACGTGATACTTCGTCCTCTCTGTCTGTTGAATGATCGACGCATGCGCAGAGAGGACGAACATTACTCGTCTACCTTTCTCTCTCGCACACATCTTGGACACAGTTTTTGGAGCCAACATTCCCCCTCCATGTCTACATACTCAAAGGGTAAACTACATATTTTTGCTACTCTGTTTGGTACGCTCCATAAATTAATTATAATTTTTATTAGTAGATAATAATTTATTATAATTTATTGTCGCAGGTGTAGTGAATAAGAAGGGTTTGGACCACATTATAATGCTAGTGCACAAAACGTATACCGTATCCATTCCGAAACCGGACGACACGGAGGAATGGCCAGGTGATTCAGTGGAGATCGGCCAGGAGGTGAAATGCTGCGTGAGTCAGATAGACAACAAGAACAGACCCGCTTTCATCTGCGGCACTTTGCGGTCCGATTACTTGCAGGGTTGCAGACTGCCAGACAGTATAAATAACATTGATAACGTGGACAGTGCAATTGTTTAGTACTAAAGCGATTATAAAAGTAATAAGTGAAATAAAGCTTAAATCAAACAATCATTATTAAAATAAATTTTTAAAATATCTCCTCATTGCTGTTTTATGATTCGATCCGCATATATTAGCTTAAGTAGAACTGTAAAATAATAAGTCGTATGACACATTGATAGGATACATGAGTAAAAATGTTCCCAGAGGAATATATTACAATAAGATTACTTCGATAAATAATTATATATATTATTACTCGCGATAGAATTTAACAAAACAATTTTGTATCTTAGATTGAAAGGATTCGTACTGGCCTTTAGAAATCCTAAATTGCTTAGCAATGTGGGAGAGATGCTCTACGACTCTCCCTTCATTCACATTGACATTGAAGCAGATTTCTATCTGTTTCGTCCAACGGTCGGATCATTTCTAAAAGGTAAGGTAAACTACATATTTTTGCTACTCTGTTTGGTACGCCATAAAGTAATTATAATTTTTATCAATAGATAATAATTTATTATGATTTATTGTCGTAGGTGTAGTGAATAAGAAGGGTTTGGACCACATTATAATGCTGGTGCACAAAACGTATACCGTATCCATTCCAAAACCGGACGACACGGAGGAGTGGCCAGGTGATTCGGTGGAGATCGGCCAGGAGGTGAAATGCTGCGTGAGTCAGATAGACAACAAGAGCAGACCCCCTTTCATCTGCGGCACTTTGCGGTCCGATTACTCGCAGGGTTGCAGACTGCCAGACAGCATAAATAACATTGATAACGTGAACAGTGCAATTGAAAGTGCGAACAGCACTATGAGGACTGACACCTCGGTTAACGGAATATCGGAGGACGACGGCGTTTCGGAGAAGGAGAGGAAGAAGCATCGAAAGAAACACAAGAGATCACATGAGGATAGTTCGGAAATTGTGTGTAAAGTTGAAAATGAATCTGAATCGAACGATACTTCTAGAATTATCAAATCCGAGAAGAATAATCAAAGTACGCAAGATACTATATTAAGTACTTCCTTGAATGACTCAGAAGTCGACGATATTCCTAAAAAGCATAAGAAAAACAAGAAAGCATCCAAGTCACTACCTAGCGACGATACAATTCTGGACGAACGTGCAGAGTCACGCAAAGCTGTGAAGAGAGAAAGTTCCGTTCCGTTAGATAGTATTACCGAAACAGAGGCGAAAAAGAGAAAGAAACATGCGAAGAAATCTAAGGAGTCTGTATTAACAAAGACAGAGAACGAAGAAGAAATAGTTAATACAGAGAATACTGTTCCGCGAATTATTAAATCCGAAGACGGAGAGCCACATACGTATAAGAAACGCGTTGCATCAAGCGCCGATCTTTCTTCAAATAATTTAGAAGATAGTGTATCTAAAAAACGTAAGAAAAACAAGAAGCCTATGATAATGTCAGATTCGGAATCAGAGGGTCATGTTGCTAAAGTAAAGATTGAAAAGCCAGATTCATTTATAGACAGAATTACTAATGAGAGATCAAAGGATCAAGCGTCATGTAGCCAGACTAAAGATTCGAACGATACTTTCGAAATGCCTAGGTTTTTGAAAAAGGAAGTACATGATGCTTCTGAAAAAGAAAGGAAAAAGAGTTCTAAAAAACAGACTTCGAGGAAATCAAACTCTGTTAAAATTAAGAATGAAGATGCAATCAGTGATGTCAGTAATGCCTCGGATAACGAGAGGAAAAAGACTCCGAAGAAGGACTCGCAATTGAAATCTGTCAAAGTTAAGAATGAACTCGACGTAATCTATGATGCCAATAACGCCTCGGATAACGAAAGAAAAAAGAGTCCGAAGAAACACGCTTCGAGGGATTCGCAATTGAAATCTGTCAAAGTTAAGAATGAAGTCGACATAATCGGTGATTTCAGTAACGCCTCGGATAAAGAAAGGAAAAGGAGCCTGAAGAAGCATGCGAGGGATTCAGATTCTGAGACTAGAATTAAGAGTGAAAACACAACGAATGACATAAATGATATTTCCCGAGTGATTAAACGTGAGTCCGAAGAGTCTCAATGTATAAAGCCAGCGATGGATAACAATTCAAGCAATTCGGATCTTGATCGCGCGTCGAAAAAACCTAAGAAAAAGAAAAGGAAAACTTCAGATTCAGAATCGGAATGTCCTGTTAAAGTAAAAAGTGAAAAAGTTTGAATTAAAATACTGAAAGTACTATAGTATAACGTCGTCCCTTTAAACTTTTTACAACATAAAACTGGCTCTCAGATTTTATCCACGTGAATGACAAAGAATGAAGAACTTTGTAAGTAGAAATGTACAGCAGCAAATATTTTTGTAATTGTACAACAAGTTAGCGTTTAATAAAATTTTGTCGAACGGCAAAACTATGTATAACGAAATAGCTATATGTACATACAGGATCAGCAACAGCATATAATACGAAACATAAAAACATTTTATTTGTAGGTACAAACTATTGGTAACGTACACCGTAATTGTCGTGTACTCTGTGTGAATCGGGCTTGGATGTTTAAAGCTCTAAAATTGTGCACCGTTCATCAGCCGAATATCACGAGTTATACACACTCGGTAGTTCATTCCGATCTTGCCTGTCGTTTGTTATTCTCAATCGGCAATTCTAACAAGTACGAGTATTTATAAACAGTTATTTATAGATCGCGATCGTTGCAGTTATGAGGAATTCTCTCTATTAAACATCTAACAACGATTTTGTACTTAAGGAGATATCAACACCGTTAATATCTGGACGATTTATCTGGAATTGTCGATAAATCGTCGCGGAACGGAGTACACGATGCGTTATTCGATAATTTTCTCATTGGTACACATTGATGTAAATAGGAGTCACATAGTTTCTCTCGCGTCGTATAAAAAAGAAATTCTCGCCTGAGCTACCGTACACTGGCAGCGATTAATATAGAAACATACGGAAAATGTTATATTTCAAAATTCGCACTATCTCGAAATTAATTCACCCCGCCAAATCACGAACTTAGGTTCTAAATTTATAACAATTATATTTCGGTTTCATTCATTTCTGTTTTAATTCGAATTATACACCCCGGGAGATTTTTTTAATAGAGGAATTTCAATTTGTGACCAAAGTTTCTTGCAAAGTATATTCTAATAACTTTAACGAATTCTGGTGAATAGAACAAAATTCCTCTATTCTTCAAAATATCGCGTATTCTGAGGCTGTTATATATAGGAAAAAAGTTCTCGCAACAATTAGCTCGAATTCATTGCACAAGAGACTCACCATGATTTATTTATACTGAATGTAAAACCAAGATGTCTTGTGAATATTTGTTATCTCTCTTTTTTTAATATCGGACAATAAACTACAGCAGTATGTCATGTTATTTACATTTTAGTTCTTACCTTACCGCATTCCACTCGTGTCTCTCTTAGAGAGATATTACTACGATAGCATTAAGTTCGAGTCATACGTTATGGCGAAATGAAATGTATAGGATTTGCTAGATTGCAACATCTGATCGTATAATTCAATTATCGAATGTATCATTTCTAGATAGTGCGTTCGGGAGTTTGTATTTGCACACGTAACGAGTAAACCCTCCGCTTGTCCCGTGCGTTCACCGAGTCAAAAAGATTTATTTTCCGAAGGTCCTCACGTACAGATTATATTCCTACGAATTAATTAGGTACACTTAAAATGTCACGCGTGTGTACGTATATTTACACGTATATAACGTCAATTTGTCACTTGAATGCGGTTATTCGCACGTTATTGTCCGCACTATTGTCACACCACCTAATCTTTGAGGGCGTTCGTCAAAGCGTTCACTCGTTTCTCTCGCTTGCTGAACGCAAATTATTTTCGTCGCGAACGTACATTTTCTTTTTTTTTAAGAAATCAACGACAAGAGAAGGGACGTGGGATAAACATGTATATACATAGGTCTACGAATTCACGGATATCGATAAAGAACGACGGTTAATTAAATGCGATTTTGGAAGTTCCGCTTAGACAAGCTACAGTTCGCTCGATTCAACGGAGTCCTATACCTTAGAAGCACCATTTTTCAGCACCAGGGTTTTTCGTTCCGAGCGCGCGTTCCGTTTCGACCAGGAGGCATCCTCCGCATTCTAAAATCGCAGACTAAAGTGCGTACGCATTATGGCAACGGCCAGGGCAATCCGGAAAAGTCCACGGGACCGCCCAGACCCGCGTCCGCCTCCAGCAGGCTCATGATGACAGCCATCGCTGCCTCGTCGTTGCCGTCGGACGGGATCGGATTTGGCGACTCGTTAATCGCGGTGCCGCCAATCATGTCCATCATGTCGTCGTCTGGTGACGCTCCTGAAAGGAGGTGGATGTTACGTTGTGCGTGATATCGCTAATATCGGCGCGCGGTCGGGCTGTTTATCGGGCAAACGGAATCAACGCTACGCTCTGCGTGGTATATCAATTCGCCTCTCGTAATCTCTTTCTGTCTCTCTTTCACTCGCGCGCGAAGGAAAATCTTAAAAATCGGTCAAATTATTCTCACATACGCGCGCCAAAGCAAAACTCTTTTCCTCGTGAGGAAACTTTGCTCTCTACTTTCTTTTCTTTCTCTCTGCACAATTTTGGCGAGCGCACTACACACCAAGAAATGACTCCTTAGAGACAGTAATAGCTATGACCTTGGTCATTCGCGATGCTGTTGAGCTGCACGTTGTTCACCACGTGGTTGAACGTCGACGTGGGGTTGCTGCTGTTGTTGTTGTCGCTGCCGATGCCACCCGGCTGGGAGACGTCGGGTATCCTCTCCGGCGACGCCGTCGTCGTGATTTGCGACTTTAATCGAAGGCGGGCAATTAGAAACGTCGATCCCGGTCCCGAATTTATAAACATATTTACCTCGGTGTTCAGTAAGCCGGTGTCTGCCGCTGGGCCAGGGCTGCTACCCGAGGAGGAGTCTTCTCCGCGTCTTTGCAGATCCAGCACCTCTTCCGCTATTTGCCGGCCGATCTTACTTACCTCCACGTGGCTCGAGATCAGTCTTTCTAACCCACCGTTACCTGTTTACGTACGAGAAATTGAGCATGACCCTTCAAACGATCGCTCCGCACAAATCGAGATCGTCGCACAAAACGCGCGCTTCAAAAGTTGCACTTACTCTGCGTGAAGTAATCGTAGTTGCCCTGCACGCTCGAGTCCTCAGATCTGTTGTTCCCACCTGGACGCGCGTCACAACTGAAAAAAGAAAAGCGACAGAAGGCTCTTTAACACGGTAACGACATCGCGCGCGACGCGCGGAAATTCGTCGCTTAATCGTTGCTTACAAGACAGCGGAATTCTTGGCGATTAGATACTCGATGTCTTTGGTCCACGGATTCCTGAAGGACTTCCACTCGGACTGCAGCCGCACGAAGTTCGCGCCCTTGCTCCTGAACCTGTAGATCTGCGAAAGTGATAAAAGGCGCGAGATCAAAACGCGGGATCGTTATCGCGAACATACGAGATCCCTCTTGGCGTTAGTCGACGATCGAGCCGCTTCGCTGCCTCGACGACGGTATCGCGCGGGTATTAACAATTTTAATGCCTTGAAAATTAGCATTTTAATCACCGCGCGAAGGAATAATATGTATAATGCGTGGCGATAACGTCGAGCGCCGTACTAATCACCTGCGTGGTAACGCGCTCGGAGGTTTGCAGCACAGCTTTATGAGATTCCGCCAGGTGAGGAATGTCGTCGTGATGATAGTATTCGTACATACTGGTGCCCAGCAGTTCCTGAGGTAGAAAGCCCAATACTGAAGTAGCTCTAAATGACGAAAAAGATGATCCTCTAATGAATATTTCGATAACATCAATCGCCCCTAACGATCTCGATGTACCGACCTTTGGTCCACGAACAGAAATTTGCCGTCCATTGCGTGCCGCGAGACGAACTGTATGGGCCTCAAGTGAGGCTTCCTCGACGACGGCAACGTGGTTGTCGATATCGCCGTTTGAATCCGACCGACCGCTACCAAGCACGACAAATTGCACGCTTCGCCGTCTACCTCGCCCTCCTGCTCCTCGAGGCCGATCTTCGCGGGCGCCCAGGACTTCAGATAACCCGTGCACTGAATCACGCAATACTTCCAATCTAAAAAAAGACGTACGCGTCTCTGTGCAGACTTGCCGATATTGAGACCGAATTCGCAAGCTTTATAAATGATAATATAAATTACCTATATTATAATTGATTTTACATTATATACATATATTGTTGTATTTTACACGTATAGAAGAAACATTATGGAGGATGAGTAAGGGGAAAGTATCGGGACTTTATGATTGCCGTCGAGGATATATCAGCGATCCTTTCACCGGTGATACTTTTCACCTTTCATGGTTTCCACTTTTCACCTTTGACAAGCCATGCGACAAATTTTCGTGCCGTTCGTCTCCGATCGTGCGTATAGCTATCCAAAAGACGCGTTTATGCATCCCTGATTCAAACACCCTGAATTGTCACGGTCATATTTTTTCGCATTGCGAAAAGCTTTACTTCTTGGAAGAGAATTGAATCAGTCATCGGACAAAGGATATGACTTAGAATTATCGCTTAAAAAAAAGTATTTTGTGTTAATTTGAAAAAATAACGCGATCATGACCAATGTTGTTCGAATTATATATTTATATAATTATTTTTACGATGGCAAATAAAATATTCATTAATCGGCGATGAAAGATTTTTTTTTTGTTAAAAAACATTTTGTGGTCTCGTGATATCTTGATAAATTTCATGTAATTGAATTTATGCAGATTTATGAATTTTTTTAAAAATCTTTGCCCTTTTCATGATTATGACCATTTCGAATCTATAATTTTTTCGCGATTTCCGAAATGAATTATGATTTTCGGGTAATTAGCCGTACTCACCTACGTTTTGTTGCTTCTTTCGCCTGTGGCAGCCAGCGGCGACGTCGGTTTCCTCCTTCACCTGCATCTCGCCGCCACGGACCACGTCGACTTTGCGCTTCATCCGGCAGAAGAAGGATCTCCGCGCACCGGGGCAAAGTCGTGACACACCCTGGGGCACGTCGGTTTTCACCGGTAACATGGCTGAAACAAACGCGATTGACAGCAACGGTCCATCTGTCGATCAATAGTTCCATCCATATCGCTGCCTTCCACCTCGCCTTTCTGCCTTTTTTTTACTTCTACCGTACCGTCTCTGATATTTCTCTTTCATATCTTTATTTTTCACATCTCTCTCATATTTCTACCGTAAAAAAAGGCATTTATTACATGGTATTAGTGTCGTAATGACTAGCGTCTTAAATTTTTTTTTACGATTGAAACGCTTCACATGCAGATCGCGTCGCGATGCAACGTCCGAGGAATCCTGGCATTAGACTCGTTCGGCAACTCTACGTCTTTCTCTCTCTTTCTCTCTCTCTCTCTCCTTTCCTCATTCGGCGCGATGAGCTTTCGCAACGCTCTTATCTGGTAGGCACGCTAATTCAAAGATGTTTATCGACAAAGCTTACGCGAGCAAATGCTGCCGAGCGACTGACATTTATCGGGTGAAGGTGGTGGAGGAGAGATGCGCGCCGGCAACTAATTTGCGTTCGCAATGATCGACGCGTCGAGCGTGAGGCAACGTCGAAAGGCACTATAATTAATGGCTCCGAAGGCGGAAAGTCTTCGCGCGGACGGAGAAATTAATGCCTCGTGCGCGCGCGACCGGTCGGCGCGGCGCGCCAAGCCGAAATCTAGAAAATCTAGAGATGCGGCAGCAACACGCGGAACACAGCAACAGCTGGGTACTCACTTTTCGCGTCGATTAGTCGCTCCCTCGGGCTGAGATCGGAGGACGAGAGCTGCTCCTTTATCTTCGCAACATCCTTGGGGTGCAGGATGTCGAACCAGCTTTGACCCAACAAGTCGCCCTGTGCGACGGCACAACAAATTCTCATAGTTCAACGGAAATTAATAAAAGTTGAGTCAATAAAAATTCAAAGCGATATAAGTCGGCTACATCGAAATCAAGCATGTCTTATTTGATAAAATCGAAAAACAAAGTTTAATATTGTTTAATCTATTTTTTTTTATTCGTAATATTTACATCGATTTCCGATAAATCTTTTTCAGACAAAGTTAATAATTTAAGCGCTTACTTAATCTCAAAAACTATTGAATGTATCGCTTCGATTATCATACTCATATTTACTTCGAAATTTAATTAAATCGTGGCAAAAGTGCGAAAACTCGACTGATAAATTCGCGAATTACCAATGTTACGACACGGTGGCAATAGTGATCGCTGCCAGTCAAACATATGTGTGTACACTGAATAACCATTTCAAGATATAATTTATAATCAACGAGATGAATACGCAGCAGACATTATTCAGACAGAGGCTAATGGTGGCATGGACATTACGATTAATTAGCCATTGAAGCCGGGGATTCTTATATGCGCGCGCCGTACACTCGCTTTCACGCAATATTTCTCGTACGCCGCATGCTGCCGATCAGATCTCGAAGCGCGACGGAAATTTCGAGCAGACGTAATTTGGTACCTGAGAGTAATTGAGAGTCTGCGAGACGGACTCGGACACGTAGAGAATCCTTCCGCGATCGCAGCCCACCACAAAGACGAAGCCCTCCGCGGCCTGGAACAAGATAAGCTGCTTTCCATTACGCTGTGGAAAACAAATCGTTAATCACAATCGCCACCGCTTCAAACCTCGATTTTTTTATAAAGCGTAGCTTATCGTAAACTTTTCTCAGATTCGCAGCTGCTTTCATTTTTCAAAATAAGAATTTAAAGCAATCTGATTAATTCGGGGATAATCACTTGAAGTGATTTTTACACCCCAGTAGCGAGAAAATGAAGCACGATCGCAGAGTTTCTTTATTGATTGAGAATCCACATCTATTATTTTTCTTACTTTTTTCCAAGAAATATCGAGGAAGAAGAATCGAGGAAATCTATACAGATAAATAATACCAATAAATCGTATAGAACGGTCATTAATATATAGTGTGTGATTAATAATAATGACTTCTAATTGACGTATAAAAATCACCCCAGGTGATCAATTACGCAATAAAAACTAGGTGACTGTATTCCCGGGTCAGCTAAGAAGCGCAGCGGCCTCGTTCGTTGACGTTAATGAGCGACGTTGCGGTCGGCAAGAACGCAATTAACATTTCGCATCGGAAATTGAAGATTACGCTACTCGCAATCGCGAGCTATGGCATTGGAGCGATTTAACACTCACACGGGAAGATTTCGACGGGATTAAGCCGGATGATCGACTTCCCGCGTGCGTTTTCGCGCGGCGCGCATTCAGCCCCGGCGAAATCGCCCACGAGACAACATTTCGTGCTCGCGATTTCGCCGGGGTCGCGACGATGCAATCGTCTCTCGATATCAGCGCGAGCGTATCATTTATCACCGCGTTTACTGCACCAGTTTAAACGCTAACGCGTCTACGTTACGTAATCCGTTCCGCGAGGTTCGACGTATCGTCGATCGCACGTAACGTTCATTAATTAATCATGTCAATGTGCGATTCCGCGCGCGCGGTCCAAGTTCCTCGTGCTCGAGTTCCTCGTTCCTTGTGTGCCACGCTACTCGCAGCACCTCCATACGTCGTTTCCACGGGTCGTAAAGTTCGGGCACGTCGAGAATAGAAATATCGAAACCCCTGAGCGAGAGCTCTCTCTCTCTCTCTCTCTCTCTGTCTCGCTCCGCGACGCGAAGATATAACGTGTACATTTATCTCCGTATCACAGCGAGTTTCGCGCGGATTAAGTGTGCGCGCCGCCGCGATGTTTATATACCGATTTTTGCCCCGTATAAACCGGCGATCCATAACGTTACTCCCAGCTGTATAATAACGGGCCGTCGGATCGCAGATGGCAATAAACGCACCGATTCGCAATGGGGAGCTCCTTACGCCGTGATTAGAGTGCATTCCGAGCTGATCTGAACTCGACCGAGTGCGCCGGGCGTGGTCATTCACTCTCTCGGGATATTTTCCTTACGGCGAACGAACGCGAGAACGAGCGCCGCGAGGAGGAGAAGGAGGAAAAAAAAACTCCCCTCGATAAAAGATAAACGCGCGTACGTGTACACATGACAATGAGAAATGTCTGGATCCGGCACCAGCAGCAGCCGGACACCGCGCGCGTTTAAGCGGATAGGAGTTATCGGGCGCGCGATGTGGAGTATTCCTTTTCCTCGTTTTCCGCAGACGTGGCGAAGCGTATGCCTCGCAATCGTTATACGTTTCTATCGTCGCGACGAATAATTGTACGCCGCTCTTCGTAACATTACCTAAAGAACCGCGACCACTTTGGCACGCGGTGAATTTCATTCCTCAAAAAAAAAAAGTAATAATAATCTTTTGTGATAATAATATTGATATACATAATATTTGCTATAATAAAATTACAGCAGACGTTAAATATACGTTACTATCGTACAAATTTTTTATAAGAGATTCAGGAAAGCGATAAACCGCGTAATACGTTCGTCAAGAGGCCAAAGGGGATTTCGCATAAACGCGTGCAAGCTCGGGTTATGGGAGAAAATCTCTCTATTGACGCACGTTCACTACTACCTGGAACCTCCTTCACGCTAATTGGTCCGGAATTAAAGGCGTAGGTGATTTGAGAGCGCCTCGGCCTAGGGTACTATTAGCGCGATACCATAAATCTACATGCCCCGGACCGTTCCTTTCGCCGCGCGCCGCGCGGCGGCACGAGACCAAGCAGCGATAAAAATCTGTAGCACGCGGGAGAGAAAGGGAGTTAACCCGCGTCGGTTTCGCTCCGCTCGATCTCGTGCAAAAGGATTACAAAAGACACAACCGCGGCACGGCCTCTCAATTGCGGGCCGCGCGGCAAAAATACGTGTCATAAATGAATTTCAAGTTAACGATACCGGAAAACTGCGGTTTCGGTGCAAATTATCGCGATCCCACGATCGCGTTTAGCACGCTTCGCGTAACCGTCGCGATCTATTCGGAAATGTCACCTCGGAAACTGAGATCGCGAGACGCGCGAATGACGATGCAACGAAGCGAGAAACATGATCTATTGATCACGATGTTTTTTATAACAAATCTATTGATTTGTTATAAAAGAGGAATAAAGAAGGACTTTTTGTAGAATGATAAAAAAAAAGATCGACAAATAATCCCGCGCGCAATTTGAACATGCACTGTATAAAACTGTACATCAATTCACGCAAAAAATATTGTCAGGCACCAAGATCCGCTTCGATCGAATAGGTTTATTTCTATTGTCAAAAAAAATTTCTATTGTAGAATAAAAAAAGAATTAAAATATTTGTCGCTCTTTCGTAATTATTCGTTGCGCAGAATGGGAGATAGAAAATGTCTCGTTATTATCGGTATAATCGCGAGAAATTTAATTTAGCGAACAGTTTGTCTCCCTCGCAATCGTTTGTAGATATTACGCAACTACCGTTTGAGTTGTGGACTCACTTGAAGTATGAGCGTCTTGAGTTCCTGATCGCTGAGAAACGCGGGCTTATAGTGACCTTCCGTGTATGAGGTAACCGCGCCGAGGATAGTCTTAAGGTGCTGCACCGCCATGCGCAGCACGGTCAGCTTGTCCAGCTTCCGCGACATCGCGTGACACATCGGTACCATCGCCGAGAGCTCAGTGATGTACGTGTTCATCTTGTCCCTCCTGCGCTTCTCAATTTCGCTGTGGTTCTGCCTGAAAGCACAGAAACACATCGGTCGCTAGATTTTAACAGAGACGAAGATAATAATGTGAGATTTATTATATATGTGTCTGACTTAAAAAAAACAGACATTTAAACAGAGACAACTCGTAAAATTAAACACGAAGACATCATAAAATTACAATATTTATAATCTAGACCACATATGGATGTGTATAAGGAACGTGTAGCTAATATTGTGAGTGTCTATTATATACTTTATAGCGCTATTTATAAGCTCGTTTATAACGGGAGTTGAAATTAAAATTGATGCTTAATGACGCTAAAAATAATCGCTTAATCATCGGTCAGCGTAACAACTTTCAAAATTGCATAAAATAGGGGGGTTCGGGTGGAACATTTCACGTGTGCATTTTTCGATGACGTAGACACGAATTATACAGACTGTTGCGAAAATTCGACGACTTTTTCTGAAAGAGAGTCACGGTTAGGCGACATATATCGGTATATCTCAAATTATTATTTTCACTCGTATTTCATATTTTCTCTTGCCCTGCAAATAAGGGATTAAATGTCCACGCGCGTATGCTCGTTGCGTTAATCGCGCGGAATCCCATTGCCATCGTCCGTTTCGTGTAAACAAGAAACGGAAACAAAGATCGGAATGTGCAGAGTTACGGACGAGGTAAGTGTAGCAGTAGTAAAGGACTCTGCTGACAACAGCGAATTTTTCTGCGCCAGGTTTCATCCACACGTGGACTGGCGGGGGCCACGCTCGCGTCGTCAAAGTTCACGTCCCCCGCTGACTTTTCCGAAAGGCTCAGCATTGGCGCACACATCAGCTCGTGCAGTCGCGTGCGTCAAGTACGGCCGCCGACGAGATCGGCGTCCGACGAGGCCGTGTCGTCAATTGCACGTGCGGGGAAACGAGCGATTCGTTGCTTGCTAAAACGGCGCTCTTTTCGAGAGCGCACGCTGATTTGTCTCCCAAGAATTCGCATTCATATTCACGCCCGGGGAGGGAGATAAATTACACGGCAGAAATCGTTGCGGCAGAGAAAACTGGTCTCGTTCGACTCCTTTAGCCGCGGACTATTATATCGTGTAATTATGTCTTGATTCAAGTGGACATATCGTAATAGTTATCGTAATATCGTAATATCCGTTAGACTTTTGTACCCTGGCTTCGGTGGGATTGTAGAACGTACGTTAAACAAGTACCTTGGAATTTTCGCCGATTACCGACTTATAAACGTAGCCGAATATATGTAATACGATATATAATACTCATTATACATATGTATATTTTGATATAATATTATTCCAAGCATATAAACAAGTTATCTCTAAGATAAAAAATGAGAGTTTAAAGAGAGTATTCAAAGATTCGGTTATCTCTTTGTTAGCGTTAAGCGTTATTTTTAAATACTTTTAATAATATATTTATAAATAGTTTAATAGTTTGTGAGAACTTTTAATATTTTTTTAGATTTTATATCTGCGACGTCCATGTAAATTCTTTGGTTTGGAAATCATTCAATCGTTAAATGCGCAATAGACGAGCGGTAAAAGCGTGAGGCGAACCGAACGATTGCTTTTGCGGAGCGGTCGCATCGTGCCGTGGCAGCAGGTGTAATAGATCGGATTTAGTGACGTCGCTGATGAAGCCGGAGCAAAGAATCGAGGTAGGTCAAGGTGGCACTCACCTTGGCAATATCTGACATAATACCACGTAATCGCCGATCGACGATTGCGTTAAAAGTTCGAGCGTCGATTGCGTCGCGCGTTCTCGGGGAATCCCGATCTTTCGGGGCACCCCGAATATCTTTTTTTTTCCATTCTCGAATACTTTACGGTGCAGTCACTTACTTCTTACTGTCGTCGTTTGTGCGAACTGATTTGGCATCGTCTCCCAGGTCGTCCATGAGATCGCTTCCACCGCTGAAACAGACAACAGCGAAGTGCCTGTTCAACGAGATGTTTAGCAAGTCTAGACGGTGAGCAACAAAATAAAAAATTCGACGTATGCATAAATAGATAATTAAAGTGACATTACAAGAGATTATTTTTTACTTGTTATTTTTTATATTTGACCAAGAAATTTTTATTTTAATGACACACGACGATTCCGTTCCTCTCCTGCGAGATACAATTTTGCCGATTAAACGCGCATAGTAATCTAAGTACGTAATTGGTGAAGTCCCTTCGCGGCGACTCTCTAAATTCGGTCGAAGCGTCACGGGAAAACAATTTCTTCGGCATATTACGACCTTCGCAGAGGGTGTTACCCCTTTGACGGGAAATTTCACGAAGTTTCGCCCGTGTAGAGCTTCCTCTCCCCCCCTCCACCCCTCCGTCCTTTGTGTCTCAAGCTCGAAAAGTCGCATGTGGGTTTCCCCGTTCTCGTGAGGAAACATTCGTCGACACGATTCCTTTGCGTCGCGATAGACTCGCCTCGGAGAAACGAGACACGCGTAAATATTTACCACAATAAAAATGCGCGCATGCATTTCAATTTTGCTTAACGTCATCGACGCGACGAGATCAGGTTCTCAAATATTGACAATAATATACGCATTGTTATATCTCCGCATAACGATTGCATATTCATAAATTTGTATTGCAAAAAATGTCGACGTTACGCGAATCGTGTGCCTTCCGGCGTCCGGCTCAAATCCAGACGAGGCGCAAAAAAATTCAGCGGACCCTGAACACGCGGATAATGCAAGCGCGCGGGACGCGAGAAGTCGTCATTCGCATTCGCGATTCGTTCGAGAAAGGGGATCGCGATTTTTCGTTTGACATCGTTATTTGACAAGTGTATCAATTGCACGTAGCGCCCGCGTGTGCATCCCGCGAACAAGCAATGAAGGTAATTGCCGAAGGCAATTTCGACCGGTTGGGATCTCCAGAGAGATAGATAGATAGATAGAGAGAGAGAGAGAGAGAGAGAGAGAAAGAGAGAAGCAAATCTTCCGTTCTGTCGCAATGATTAAGTTAACCCTTTGACCGAGACTTCGACACCTTGATTGGGTAATTACTCGGAACCGTCGGGCGCGAAACATCACGAAACATCTCGGCTTCGATGAGTATCGAGAGCGCGGATGAAGGAACCGCGGCGGGGGGATGGGTGGTAAGTCGCGGGTTGTTTGCCGGCAGTTCGCGAGACTCCAGACTCTTGGCGGGGCACATTTGGCGGGCTTCGTTTCGCGCGCTTCATGCTAATGTGTAATATTCCGCGATACGACTTCCACCTACATGCCACGGAGAGCGAGCCGTTATATATACGCTTTGTGCTCTGGCAAACGGAGCGGCTGTTGCCACGGCCGATTCTTAGGTGCCGCGTGTATTCGCCCGCGAGCGCTATAAGTATGCGACGGACAAAAGAACGTTGTTCCACGTGGCGCGAGATCCCGCGCGAGAATTTCCGATGAGAGCCGCATTTCTAACGCTTCTTTCTATTCGTTCGTTTAAGATGCGCTCAAATGTTCGCAGACGTGAACGTTAAATTGATGATCTCTTCTGAAAGATAAATTCATAGTTAAATAAGTTATATAGTTTATTACAGCTTTATCTCACGATCTGAAAAAGTATTTACAGACAATTTTTAATTCAACTTTTTAAATGCTTTAAATTTATTGTTAATTTATTAATAACGTACGTATTGCATTGTTGGTACTGGCAAACTTCGATAAAATGACGTTCAACGAGTCATCGCAAGTTCAGTTAGCATCGTTTGGTTTAAGAGAAACCGGTGAAATCAACCGTTAATCCCTTAGAGGCACGAGCCCTCAAGGTTCTTGGGTAAATTAACGGATTCAAACTTACTGGCACGAAAGCTTCCGTTTCCTGGAGATCGGCGCGAACTCATTCGACGTATCGGTCGGCGGTCCATGGCTAGGCGTGGTGGACGTGCTACGATGATGCCGATGATGATGATGATGGTGATGGTGGTGATAGTGATGGCCGGAGGCGGGTGCCTGCTGGTCGGGGACCATCGTCGGGGGTGTCTCCATGTGCCGGGGCGGTTCAGCCCCCGTTGCAATCTGCGGGATGGTGGCGGTGCTGCTGGTGGAGGTGGTGGTGGTGGCAGTTGTAGTGGTCGTGCTCGGGCTGCTGGGGGTGGTGGTGGTACTGGCGGTGCTGCCGCTGCCGCCGTTGCTGCTGCTGTTGCTGGCGGGGGTTGGAGTCGGGGCGAGACCTTCGCCACCACCCCCCGCCGAGGCGGTGGTTAGCTCTCCCACCCCGGTACCCGTGCCTATCTCGCCGAAATAAATCGTGGAGCACGAGCTTCTGCAAAGAGGCGAATTTTAAGCGGCAAAGTCAGTCGGCATATGCCAATTGCTAATCAAAAATCACGACTGTTATAAGACAAAATCGGACCAACAGGCCGTAGGTGTAGCATGATTGTCGATTGAATAAATCGATGAAGTCGCTGCGTTAAGTCATATAATACATAACATACATACGTAACACGTGGTAAAGTTTCTTTAGTGTTTTGAGAGAGTTGTGTAAGTGAAATCCTCATATATATATACATATAATAATGTTTAAAAATTATGCAAAATATATGCGCGATTATTGTAAAATGTGTATTATCGAGGGAGATACTTAATTCCCTGTATACCTTTATTAAAAATTTCTAATCGTTATCTTCTCAGTAACAAGCTACTCAGTTATCAAGATTTATATATTTTCAAGACCCGAGGGAATAGGGAAAGTTGCGGTCGCATGGGAGTGCATAACATTTTTGTATGTAAGTACGCTAATCATATGCGGGGCGTGTAAATGCATAGTTGCACCAACAACGTCACGTCCGGGAGTATTGAACTATCGTCATCGACCTTACGATCTATAAGCTCCTATATACGTGCTATATCGATCCAATCTCTCGATTTGCCTTACCTGTTTGAACGAATGTACATAAAACTTTTTGCCGATCGATTAAATCCCGATCGCGTTATCGCGTTGTCAATCGCATTTACGCATATAAGGATATGCGGCAAGTCCGACGTATAATCATGCACCTAATGGCATAGTGCTCAGAATTGTGCGAGCGCGATCTTAATTATTTGCAAGAATTAATCTTCTAAAAAGAGTTGAAAGAATTGCCTCTTCGTTTTTATTAACGCTGAAATAAAAACGGAAAAGAAATTTGATATTTTAACTTTCAAATTCTTTCGGGATTCTTTGGAGAATCTTTTCCTTAGATAAGATTAAATAAATAAAAAAAAACAAGTCGATATCGGGTTAACAAAATTGTTGGTTTCAAGACGACGGTCGCGTGTAGCTGTTTCTTGCTTGAAAAACGAAGGATCAAGGTCTGCCGACTATCTCTGCATCGACAATGGCAGATAGTTCCGCGTATTATGATGTAATGCCAGCGATTAGCGTAATTCTATTTATTCATAGATAGATACGCGACGACGCCGGCGGCGGCGTCATACGATGCGACAGGTGGGAGCTCGCGTATAGCTGACATACCTAATGCTCAAGTAGCTGCAATCCGCGAACCAGAGTTAATCCTACTGGCGTGCTTCAATCTCGAAAACGTTAAAGTGCAGCCGCGCGACTTATTTACGCGAGATGATAACTTTCTTATCTCTCATCTCGATCGAATTTTCACTGGAAGAATTTTTGAGGCAAAAAGAAACATCAATTTAACTGTGATATAACTATGATATAATTATGTTAGAGCTAAGATTAACGAGATAATCACGAGTTGTGCACGGCTAAATTGTGTACCTGCTAAAAAAAAAATTAATTTTAAGGTGTGGACGCGAAAGCGAGAGTGCGTTCGATCGAGTAGCCAACGTGGCGCGTTGAAAATCGCATTCGTTACGGTACCGCGAGACAATGATAAAGAGATGCATTACGCAATGCATCGCGACTTGCAATAAAATATCGCGATAAAATATCGAGCGTCGGGTGCGAGAACGAGAAAAAAAGAGTGAAAAAAGGAGAATAGAAAGCGCGAAGCCCCCGTATTGGTCCCCACATTGGTCGACACTACGACGATCGAAACATCGAAATGAAAATCGGCAGCAAAATGAAGAGAGAGAGAGAGAGAGAAATTATCAACTTATCACTCATTATCTCGTGTAAACGACGTCGAAGCGTTTTACTCGCGTTGCCGTTAATGCATCATTATGGACGTGCGCTATTTAGATCCGTCAGAGCGTGAATGCTCAACTGGCGATACTGTCCTTCGCTTCGCCTTTTGTCTTACACGCGCGTTGTGGATGTAAAAAAAACAAATTTTATCACGAATTTGACCTCGCAACGCGTCATTTGGTCCATTAGAATAATTACGTGAATGCAAAACTGTGTTTCTTCTTTTTCTGCTGATTTGTCCGAGTAACAGGTTCAAATATCGTTCGGATACTCGGATACACGGATAACCAGTTTCCGAGTGATTTCAGGTATTACCGAACCCGATAACTCGATGTTGACAACACCGGTCGTAATTCCAAAGCCGATTCCCGGCAGATTATGTCGAGAGGCTTATCGTCTGTTGTCGCACACAATGCGATATAAATAACGTTGTAACGCGTAAAACAGCGGCGTAGTTTCGTTTTTAAAATTATAATTTGATCATCCGAACATTCGATTCGACATCGCATCGGCATAGAGACATGTCTCATCAATATATACATTGCAAATTGATTAAGATCCTTCATATTCGCGGCGACGAGCACGACAAAGACAACAGCGCGACAACCGAACTTACTCCTGCACGGACGAGAGATTATAGTAATCTCGTTGATGTTGCTGCTGCTGACCGCCGTTTCGCTGCTGCTGATGCTGATGATGCTGATGATAGAGCTGCGAGGCGGACGTGGCCAGTTGCGTGCAGGTGTCGTGCACGGTGCGATGATGTTCCTGATGATGAATGCGCGGCTGTAGCTCCTCCAGCGAGATGTATTCCTGCGTCTCCTGGGCCGGCACCGCCGCCGCCGAGTGCAGGAGCTGCGTGTAGCCCTGTGCCATTTCCTGCGCCACCATCTCCCCCTGATGGTCTTGCCCGGTCGTGATTCCGGTATCGCGAAATCGCAGGAGATCGTCCAGTTCGGACCCTGTCGACGGATGCTGCTGCTGCTGCTGCTGCTGTTGCTGCTGCTGCAGCTGATGATGATGATGACGCTGCTGCTGTTGCTGCTGCTGATGGGGATGCTGTTGATGCTGATGCTGATGATAATGCAGCATACGATCGTTCACGCAGGCGCCATCGCCTGCGGCGACCACCGCGTCATCATTCTCGACGACGCCGTCGCTGCTGGTGTCCGGCAGTAGGCCACCCTCGTCTGGAGAACGACAGACAAAGAGAGAGACAGAGAGAGCGATTCGCCACTCTGGAGGATTCCGCGGACTAGGACGCGCGCAAGAACGCTCGGCGACGTGCGAAAGCTTCTCTTATCCTCGTACGACAATGAAAACGAGCTTCGGAGCCGGCTTCGATCGAATTGAGATGAGCTTCACGACTGAAATGAATTTTCGGCAAGCGATTTTATTGCTGAAAGGCTTCTCGCGCGACGATACTTCTTGTACGGTAAACCTTCGGCGCGACCCCTGAAGGGATGTCTGCGTGTACGAGTCGACAGCTGCATATATGATAAATTTGCGTAATGTATGAAATACGGTGAGTCGCTATCGACGGGCAATTATCCGGGAGCCAGGGCATAATTATCCACTTGTGCGAACCCACGCGAAGCGCGGACTTATTTCCAAGCTGGCAGTCCCTCATTTTAGACGGCCGATTAATTTCCAGAGTATCGGAGCTACAACTGGAGCCATGTGGGCTCCCTCTCGTCGAAGGCGGAGGGCACCTCGCGATAGTTCGCGAAACCGCGAGAACCGATAATACGCAGAGATCATTTCCCGTATTTTCCTTCTCTCATCGATGTCACGCGCCGATGACTAATTTCATAATTCAATTCCGCGAACTGGCGTTGCGCGAAAGTGCAACGTGCCGCGTCGTGGATATGGCGCAATGGGGAAGTAGATACGGAACAAATTTGTCGCATGTGCGTAACGCAACCTTCGCGGCCTTGGGTGACAGTACCGCCAATGTCACGACGCCGATTGTGAGTGCGGTCGAGCACGTATCATCGGACGGAATGCGCGCGGAACCACGCGTCGATAGCACGTAGTGTTGATGATGACGCAATAACGGGGAAGAAAGAGAGAGAGAGAGAGAGAGAAAGGCATGTATCCTCTCCTATATAGGACGTCGCGGGGAGCGCGGCTCGTGATCATCTTCGAGGTGCCAAAAGCAGTAAATTACACCAGCGGCGGATAGAATGAAAGGTTGATGCCTCCTTCACCGGCACTAATATACTTTCCCCGTTAAAAAAATTTCGCGCATGTAGCTCCGGCGTAAGTTCATACACATACACACCGCCAGCGCTCGAAGAAGACTCACAAAGAATGTTTGCGCAAGATCGGCTCCAGATCGGCAAGAAACTCAGACGGGCGGACGACGAAATCAGCAATCAATCAACGGGAAACCTATGGCGAATCATCCGCCTTCGCGTACGCGCATTAATTGCTACCTCGTGCCGCTGCCTGCCAGGCAATTCCGTATTTTTATGACATTTCGCTTCGCGGCGTGTATTAAACGCGCGTATAATATATGCGGTATAGACGGCGACGACAGTACTCGCAAACAGAAGGAATGCCCACCGGAGGGGAGGTCTCGTCTCTTGGACGATTTGAGTTCCAGAAACCAGTTCCGGAGGGTTGGACACGAGCGCGAGTCGCGAGTGTGGATGAAAGAAATGTTTTTCTACGGAGTAATATTTATTATAAGACGTTTGTCTTCGGACATCTCCGTGGTAAATACGAATCCTTTCACGCCACTTTCCCAGGTTTTATAAAAACCAGCGAAATTACGGTAATAAAATCGTAATGACCGCGCGTATTTATTTTAAATACGATTATGGATAAACACGGCACTGCGACTTCTTCATCAAGCCTCGATTATAGACGCGCAATGTATTGCCTCTCGCAATTTCTATTAAGATTTAATAACAATTTTCGCAGAGAACTCTTATACGAGTATCTTTTCTGATTAAAATAATTTTCTCGTCTTATGAAAGCGTCAGTATATATACAGACTGGAATTTTTTATCCTGTCACCGAGATGATCGAGGCACACGTACGGTAGTGGATGGAATTTCGTTCTAGTGTTACATAAAACTACGATAAAGATCTACGTTTTATAGTCGCATGAACAACGGATGCTCTTCGGCGAAGAGACTTCGGCACGTTCGATGACGCGTAAAAAATTTCTCAGTATGCAATCGCGTGACGATTGAGAGATAAAAGTGACAATGACATTACCTAGGAGCTGCACGACGTCGCGCGCGCGACCTTCGATAACGCCGTGCTTCGTCGAACTTTTATCAATGGAAACAGCAATCATGATGTCACCGGCATCATCGATATAATGGACACGACGGCACCTGTTGCAATTTACGATGTCGGAAGGCGTGGAAGATGTTTCGCATAATTTCGCAAAATAGTGTCAAATCACAATTATCATTTGAATGAAAAGCAAATTCATTGTACCAATTATCAAGTAACGATCGAGAACGGAGAAAACTTCAGAAAAAGATATCTTTTATGTGATCCGAATAAAGGAATCGACACGATAAAGCTTAATAGTATGAATACGTATTTCTTTTCAATGTGACAATGGAATAGAAAGTAGTACCTGAGGTGAGTACCTGACGAGAATATCCCAATGATTATTATTGAAATAATGCATCCGATGATGCATTGATGAAAATCGTATCTAATGAATGATAACGCCGCATCGATATATCACAATATATCACAATATATCACTGACACAAGTTCTTCAATTGAAAGAAACTGATAAGAAAACATATGTTTTCAATTAAAAGAAATCAAAAAGAAAACATTTTAACCGACTTTGCTTAAAAATTACTATTGAATCTCCAAAAAAGTTTGTAAATTATTAGCTTTGTAAAATCTGTTGACAGTGATTTAGAAACGAAAAGCAATACATATATCATTTGAAAGGCTGCTGATGAAAAAGTTACGATCGACTGACTATCTTACTCGTGTAACATTATGAAGTGAGTAACTATTAAAAATGGCGCGATGGCATTCTGTATCAGATCGATTTCTTCTTTTGCGGAAATCACGGGGTTAAATCTCACGAATAATAAAATATATACCGGAGCACACGCAGACTAGAATAAAACGTTTTCCGGCGTCTCGATGGAAAGGAGATCACGACGGTATTTCGCACATTCGCGCGAGCGTTCGCGCGTCACGGCGAGTAGCCCCTTACCGAGAAGCGCGTACATCCACGTCGTCGCCGACGACGAGGAGGCGGCGACATCCTCGAGAAAAGGCCAGAAGGCCTGTCGCCTTCCCTCTTGGCGGGCGATGCCCCCGTGCTTCGAGGGTCGGGCCTCCTCGACGGCGTCGACGAGGTCGTGCCGGCCGTTCAGTACCGCCGTCTAACTCGAGTCGCGTGTCGCGAGCTCCCGGCAAAACGCTGGCCGGCACGTGACGAAGCCGAGCGGACTGACGAAGACGAGAAACCGACGCCGTCGGCCTAGCTCTCGCCAACGTTTGTCGACATCGAGATCGTGGAGAAGTACGGCGATCTCGGCGGTGCGCGCGCGATGTCGATCGGCGTAGCGAGGCTGCGGATCGGAGCGGAGAAGGTCTCTCCACTCGAACTCGCGCGGTAGACAACGCACTCGTCGACAGACGCGTCGTCCGCTTGACACTGAGAACGCGGGTGGGTGATGATGACGGTGGTGCTGGCGATGGTGACGGTGGTGGCGGTGGTGGTGGCGGCCGATGGTGGTAGCGGAGGAGGGCACCTACGACGACGACGGTGGTAGAGACGGTGATGTAGAGAGGTACTCGTCGTCGGCAGCCACGATGCTGTCGAGTACGTGCACCGGGGTGAACGCGGTGGATATACCACGTGGTCCGCGGCACAGGTGGGAGTGACTAAAACCGCCCTGCGTCGCGAAATCGCTCCCCTCGCGACGACGAGCCGTGTCCCCGAGCCACCCCCACATCGCGGCGGGGAGGATGCGTCGCAAGACTTCTCTCGGTCTCGCGATTCTTCTTTCTCGCCGGATGAAATCGCGAAGTACAAAAAAAAGTACCCATTTGGGTGTTCGTATAACACAATGGAAATTCACACGATGGAAATGTGTACGAAGGCGGAGGTTGAGATCACAATTCGCGAAATTAAAAGTTTCGTGTTTCATTTTCAGAGAGTATGAACTTCACGCGCGGCTCTCATTTTCCGAAGCTGACGTATATAAATCGTCGCTAACGAACTTAAAATTTATACGATTTACGCCATACGCAAACAAGATTCCCGGATTCGACAGAATAATGACGTGACGTCGAAGAAGAAAAATATGAGCTTGATCTCGAGCAAAGGGAGTTTACTAAAAGCGTGTAACGATATGCCACTGCCTGTTAACGTAAACTGCAATTAGGCTGTTACAACCTATTAAAAATTAAATTATCGGAACTTATTAAAATAATTAAATACTGAATAGGTAATGATCGGTCGCGGAAAGAAACGTGTCATTAACGAGGCTCACTGCGAACTTGCGCATGCAAGCCTGAAAACTGTATCTCGTATAATTTCCTTGCTATCTGTTTATGCCTGCGTTGAGAAATCGCGGGTATGACGGCAGCAATCACTCGCTACACGACGTGACTTTCAACACGTAATTTAAAAATGCATATATGCTTTCCAAATATGTTAACATTTTTTTAATACTTTCGGGGTTTAACTTGCATTTCCTTGACTTTGTAGCGCCTCGGTGAGACTTCCAAAGAGAAAAATTTCTTTTGAATAAAATAAATGCAAATAAAACGTAAATATCAACAATGCAAAAAAATAAAAAATTGTTTTAACGTATGAATTATTTAGCTTTTTCCGATGGATCGTTCGCTTCGCGCAATCGTAGAATTAATTAACGTACGTTTCATCATATAATATGTATATATGTATAACAATATATATACGCGCACTTAAAGCCAACTAATTAACGGGCTATCCTAATGCCTTATGTAACTTTAATATATAACGTAATCAGAGTTGGCGCAAACATTTTAATATCACACATTCTGGAGAAGGCACGAA